AAACTGATGAAAAAAAACCCAGATGTAAACTGATGAAAAAAAACAGATGTAAACTCATGAAAAAAAACCCAGATGTAAACTGATGAAAAAAAGCGGATATAAACTGATGAAAAAAAAACGGATGTAAACTGATCTGTTTTTTCTTTGAAAAAAACGTGACTGAACTGATGGAAAAAAAAAAACGAACGCCCATGTGAAAGGACCCTAACAGCTGTTTTAGGATTGGGATTTTGCAGCCTAAGGAAAACTGCATATGGCATAGAGGGTTAAAGCAGTATTAACCACTTCCAGACACTTTCACCCCCTTCCTGTCCAGGCCAATTTCAGCTTTCAGTGCTATCACGCTTTTATGACAATTGCGTGGTCATGCAACACAGTACCCATATGAATTTTTTAGCATTTTTTGAGACAGATAAAACTTTATTTTGGTGGTATTTATTCACCACTGGGATTTTAATTTTTTTTTCTATATAAATGAAAAAGACCAAACATTTTGAAAAAAAAGTGTTTTTCTTAGAAAATTTTGCAAATAAATAATCTTTCTTCATAATTCTTGTCCAAAATGTATTAAGCTATCTTTTTAGTAAATTAGTTTTATAACCAAAAATTATAATGTTTCAAAAAATTACACTTTACTACTTGTGGGGGGGTGAAGATTTTTTTTTTTTTTTTAACACTGCTTTTACACCCATAAAGGATGTAAAAGCAATAATTTCTCCTTCTCTCTTGCTGCATTCTTGCAGCCAATAAGAAATACTGTGCGAGCTGTGATTGGTCACAACTTGTCACATGGTACAAGGTTGTTGTGAATAGCCTTGTACTATAAGAAGTCTTACCTGTAAGTACTGTAAATCTCTCCTAAATGTGCACCATTTAGGAGATAGTTACCTGTGTAGAGCACGGTCACATGCGCTCTGAAAAAGAATGGCACGTCCGTGCCGTTCCTTCAGAGCTGTGTGCCGTAAAAAGTGACTGTGCACATGCACGGAAATGACGTCATTGTGGCTCAACCATTCAAGCCGTGGGAGCCCGCGAACCTGGAAGAGGGACGAGAGAAGATGGAAGGCTTCGTCTTAAGGTAAGTTTTATATAATGTGCTAGAATGCGATGCATACTAGCACATTATGACATTGCCTTGCACGGGAAATTTTTTTTTCCTCCTGAGAGTTTACTACCGCTTTAAACAAAGCCTTAATATATTTGCAGCTTACTGATCCTCAAACAAGGCTTCATTCATTTTCTTTTTTTAGGCTTTTTCACTTTATTTTAACCTGATGATCCTGCCAGTAATCAGACACTTCCTGTCTTAGAATGTCTCTATTCCACTGGAAGAGCAATGAGGACGCCTTTGAACAGCAACATCATAGATTCTGGGGAGAGGGTAGTGTTAGATGCACTAGCAGATTTGATTTGGACTGGACTCTAGCTAACACTTTTTAAGCAGTTATGGCAACTTTTTTTTTCCTTTTGAGATAAGTTTTACATAAATTTAAACAAATTGATCACTGTAGGCAACCCTGTTGGTGATAAATGGTTAGTCTCCGCTTTCTAAATGCCAATTGTGCGAGACAGCTTTGTGTGTTAAAGGAAGTTGAAAAATAGCAGATTTACTGGCTGGATCAACAGCTTTAAAATAAAAAACAAAAAAGCATGAAAAAAAGAAAACATAATGTGCAATATATAATAATATTTGGCTTTTGGGTTCAATATCACTTTTAATTTCAGTGCTGGCCAGGATGCCTAGAAGCTCTGAGGGCAATAAATCTCATGCAGGACATAGATGGGTCGAAAATCTGCCGATTTTTTGGCCGAAAAAAAAAAAAAAAAAATCGGCCAATTTTCGCACCGTTTATGGGTTAATTGGTTGGCCATTTTTCTGGATTTTGTCAGATTTTTTTGATCAGTAAAGTTGGAAACAAATCGGCCGAAGAGGAGGAGGAGAGAGAAGAAGAGGAGGAAGAGGAGGAGGAGAGAGAAGAAGAGGAGGAAGAGGAGGAGGAGAGAGAAGAAGAGGAGGAGGAGAGAGAAAGAAGAGGAGGAAGAGGAGGAAGAGAAAGAAAAAGAAGAGAAAGAAGCGGAAGAGGAAGAAGCAGAAGAAGAAGAAGAGAAAGAAGAAGAAGAAGAGAAAGAAAAAAGAAGAGAAAGAAAAAAGAAGAGAAAGAAAAAAGAGAAAGAAGAAGAGAAAGAAGAAGAAAAAGAAGAAGAGGAGAAAGAAGAGAAAGAAAAAGGAGAAAGAAGAAGAAGAGAAAGAAGAGAAGAGAAAGAAGGAGAAAAAAAAGAAGCATTCCAGTCCGCTATTATATTTGACATTAAAAAGTATTGCGGTTGCAACAACGTATCTATTTGTATCCGAAAAAACCCATCTGTATCCGAAATGGATACAAATAGATACAATGTTGCAACCGCAATACTTTTTAATGTCAAATATAATAGCGGGGCTCTCTGCACTGACAGAAGTAATTAAATGCCGGCCGTAGACCGGAAGAAAATCGGCTGATTTTTTCTACTGTTGGTGGGAACGTCGGCCTATTGAACGACCGATTTTTAGTTTTTTTGTTAAAAAAACAGCCAGTTTTTTCCAAGTCTATGGCCTGCATTAATGTCTGGTACACACTGTTTGTTTTTTTTGTTCAACCCAGTGAGATGAACGGAAAAAAATAAATGAAGAGCTTGGGAGGAGGGGGGTTGGAGCTTACTGTACTAAATATCCAATGTTAGTACAGCAATCTCCCCACTGAGCCATTGTGTTCTGCTAGGGGGACTGCGTGTACGGGGCTTAAGACAGCTAAAAAAACTCAATTTACTGCAAAGCCTGCATAAGGGATCTGTGAACAGCTACAAGAATTCTCCCCCTGGGGGTTGGACATCAGCTATTCTTGATTGGAAATAATACAGTACTGGATTTGTGTTCACAGACACACATATATTACAATTTCCCTAAAATAAAAGAAAAAAAAAAAAAAAAAAAAAAAACAAACAACACCTCCCTAATTGGGACCCCCTTTCACTCCCAAGCCCTATAGCAGCAATGTTGGCTGCTATGGCAATTCTTACATCACTGATGTAGTAGGAAAACATATCTACAAATTAGGTTCTATTACCATAAACTTGATATTTTAGTCGTACAATTGATTTAGGAGCATAAAATAATGACTTGCTTGTCTCCATCCAGGTTTTGGGGTATAGGGATGCAAATAACTATTTTCTGTGCTCCATTCACATCTGGGCATTTTGTATCATGGGCAGAATTGCTACAATTCTGCCCACGATCTTAAAACGCTGTGAAAAAAATGACAAATTGCATCCCGGGTGTTCAGGTGCGATTTATTTTCAGTGGCACCTAAAACGTGGCACGATTCTGCTGTCATTGGCACGAGATAAATCGTGCTGCAATTGCACAAATCACATCATGCAAACCTTGTTGACTCAAAAGAAGCTCCTGTTCCTTTTTGGGTGACAAGCTTCACATGATACGTTGCCATGATTGCAGCGTGGCAATCGCAGCAGAACCACACCATGTTTTAGGTGCCATTGAGAATGTATGGCACCTGAACACGTATTGGGGGGATTTTTCAGGGGTTTTTTTTCGGATTGCAGGCAGAATCATGGCAATTCTGGCTGTGATAGAAAACGACCAAATACGAACAAAAAGAATACCAGTCTGTTAGAGGTTTGTAAACTTTTCTCCCAAACCTTAAAAATGGTGAGCTTAGCTGCTTTAGATAATAACATGAACAATTTCAGTGCTTTTGATGTGAACTTTGAGGATAAATTGCCCCGCAGCGCCAGCAGCTACAGTGGTCAGTGAGGGCTTTAAAGATCATATATATAACTAATCTTCATTTAGCAAACATTTAATACAGGGTGCACTTTTAATATTGGATTCTCAGAGCACTATGGGTTTTCCAAAGAGTAAGCACAGCACAAGGTGCCTAATATAAGTCTCTGAGGTAAGCATACAATGGGAAGTTAGAGGGATGAGTCATTGCTTTTTTAGTATATTTTTCATGTGTGTGTGTAAATTTCACCTTGAGCTACCTAGCTCTATAATCCACAAGCTTTTAACAGGAGGGATAGTAACAGGAGAAAATGTACTGAGTTTGGAGATAAACACATGCAGCCAAGGCTAGGTATACAAAATGGTAAAAATATGCAAAACCAATGTATTTGCCTTTAACAGCAACAAAATAGAACTGTTTTAATACAACTATTTATTTCTAGCATATTGACCAACAACAACAAAAAAATTATCAAAATATGATAAAAAGTATAGATTTTATCAGAGATAAGAATTCCTATCAGCCAACAAACAGGTTTACATTTATAATTGCTGTATCCATCACCCCTATTTCTTCAACCTCTGGTCTATTTAAAAGGAGAAGTAGGACTAAGGCTCTTTTGGGCCCTACTTCTCCTATGAATCACAGGAGTGCATTTCGTTCTGCACCTCTGTGACCAGTTTTTATCTGACAGCCGGCTGGCGTCATAGAGCTGGTCCAGGTTCTAGAGAGATTCTTTAATGTCGGGATCCACCCAGCCTGGCAACTAGCTCAGGCTTAGCTGAGCTAGCTACTCCCACCCCCTCCACAGCATGGTGCTCCAGTGAGAGTCACCGGCTCTCTGCTCAGTGAAGACCAAGAACAGAGTGATCAGCAGTCTTTGATCATACAGTTCTTTGTCTTAGAAGCGTTGGAGAGCAGTTGCAGCTTGGGACCAATGCTGAGTATAGATTTTTTTTTTTTTTTTTTGAACATTTCTTTTAGTAGCAACAAAACACAACTGTTTTAACCCTAGAGATTATTTTTAGCATATTGACCAAAAGTAAAATTAGCAACATATGGTAAAAGCAGTATAGATTTAATCACAGATGACAAGAATTCCTATCAGACAATGAACAGGTCTACATTTAATATTGCTGTAGGCATCACTCCTATTTCTTCAACCTCTGGTCTATTTAACGCCATATCAATATTTAAAGGTATTAACAAAAATATTCTTACCTGTAACTATACAGTAATTAGGCGGTTCAAGTACAGCTCCATAAAACTGGATGATGTTTCTGTGACTAAGCATGCTAAGGATTTCTGCCTGCAAAACAAAAATATATAAAAATAGTTACATTTTTCTCCACATGCAAATGTATATTGGTATAATTCTTCCTCTACCCATAACAATAACCCTTAATGTAACCCTAACACTAACCCTCCTTGTAACCTGAATATTTACCCTTATTCTCTTGTTCAAATATTCACCACTCCCAAACTAGGATCCTCTGTGCCAAAGATCAACCTTTCCTGCACTGAAAGATACCACTGTCAATGTCCATGCACCAAAATCTACTGGTTAGGTAAAAAGAATTCCAATTTGTAAAGGGTTTTCAATTTGCAAATTACTCAACCTATGAAAGGCAGTTTGTGCCTCATATAAAGCCAAAAAAGTTTCGCTATGAAACTACAAAACATACAGTCATATCACTGCCCTATTATTTCCCAGGTTGTGCAACTTTCACAAAGACACAAGCAATGACTGAAAAAAAATGAAATTATCTAATGGCCAGGTCTATGTTACATGTACATTAGCAACTATGTCCGTGCATTCTCCATATCGCCATGAATCAAACCCCAGGTGTCAGATGCTTCATGCCAGCTTTTAGAAGCACTTCTAAAGTGCAGTGTATCCAAGGTGGCAGTGTTTTTCTGTGACCTCTCTCTTCCCATAGTTTATGTAGTTAGAAAAACCATTTCCTTTGATTGCAATCGTTCAAAACAGCAAAGTTGCTTTTTGTGATTTATGTCAGATCTTTCACTTTGTCTTTGATGTCACTGAAGAGGAGAAATGAGAGCTGCCAAGGCTCGGTTCATAAAACTACTTCAACATTTGTTGTCAGGATTGCACTTATGTTCTTCAAAGCTAGATATTGTCTCCTTTTATTGGGATTATTTTCTTTTCTACTGCAGGTGGAGCTTGCTGAAGAGGATGGTTGATAATTATTTTACTTAGTAGAACAGTACAAAGGTACAAAACAGTCGTGGAGCTTTAAAGGGGTCTCATGAAATCATGTTTGAAATATTGGTCTAAAGTTTCCATTGTGTGCAAATTATCTAAAACTTAACATAGATATCCATCAACCCTTCACTTCGTAGTCAACAAGCTGTGTCCCTCAATGAACTCAGAGGAAAGAGTTTTATGGAGAGTACAAACATTTTACGTTCTTTATCGTTCATTGGGGGACACAGATCCATAGACCATTAGACCAGTGGGATGTGAGCAACCATTGTCCAATTAAGGGGTGGACAAAATACACCAAAGAACCGGAAAAAAAAAAGAGCTAAGTGACAGACATCTGTCCTTCTGTTTCCAATGTATTTTATTAAGTTTTCATTAAGAAGAAACAATAAACAAGGTGCAAAAGTTGAATGGACTGTCCACTGGTCACAATTTGCAGAAACAGTCTGCGACAAAAAAATATACATGAGTAATAATAACCCCTGAAATTTATTTAGGGAACTAATGTTGGGAACTAGCAGGACCGGAGAGTCCACCATCGCCATGGTTGGGCTATCCAATTCCCATTAGGACTTCCTGAAATGATCTGTATAAAATTCAAAACCTTGTAGATTGTGAAAACTCTAAAGCTATACAGGGAACAAAGAGAAAGAAAGAAGAAAGGAAGAACAGTAGGGGTAAGCACCCTCGCCAAACATGGTAGAGATGTTTCAAGGTCAGCCTGTAGCGCCCATCAAGTACTGGATCCAAGGATCCCATGTTTTTTTCAAACAATGCCATCTTATTTAAGAGTGATGAAAGATGTTCATTGATCATGATCTAAGACATCTTACCCTTTAACAACTCAAACTGAACAGTGGGGAATTTCCAAGATCTGGCTATAGTGATTATCACACCTTTAAAAAAAAATGTTATCAATCTTCTTGTGGATTTTGGGGTCCCCTCCACTGGAAAATGAAGTAATGCCTGTTGCGGAGATCTAATAAGGCTGAAACGAGTGATAGCGTAAGTAAGATTATACGCGCAAATCCAAAATGTGTTTCAACTTTTGTACAGGTCCACCATATGTGAAAAGCTGAACCCTCCTGATCATAACCTCTGAAAGAGCAGGGTGATGCTCCTGGGACCCCCTCCTCATCCTTCTGGCAGTTGTGTGTTAGGACACCAGATGGAGCTGTCCCACCTCCTGCAGATGGCACTATAACCCCCGGTTTAATAATCTAGGGGCCACCAGATGTGTACCTCAGTGAACGATAGAGAAAAACCTGTTATAAAATACAGATCCTATCAAAGACATTACAAGCATAGAGTATACCTGTACTATGCATGTTTAGGTGACTCTTCCCCAGGTTTTCTAGTTCTAATCTAAAACTCACAGCCAAACTGGTTTCCTATTGCATACAAGTTTTTAGAGGGCAGTAGAGTGTAGGGGGAATGATGACAATTGTTCAGTTTTCTCTGTAGAGCTAAACAAGTAAAACATATGGGAAAAAATGCAAACATTAGGGTGCTATGTAAAGGGTACGCAAGTCTGCATCATGAAACAGAAGTGCAGGTCCCCAGGTCATAATGTGTGTGTGTGTGTGTATATATATATATATATATATATATATATATATATATATATATACACACACACACACACACACACACACACACACACACACACACACACACACACACACATATATATATATATATACTGTATATATATATACACATACACACATACATATATATATATACATACACACACACACATACATGTTATATATATATTATATATACACACACACACACACATACATATACACACACACACACACACAGTCTGGCACCTCCAGCACTGAATTCTACTATTGGCTTGTTGGTGGTGGGACATCTATTGCTGCTTGGGGGTGGAGTCCACTGATGTACTGATGTGGGTGGGGGAGTATATTGTAACCAGCTGCTGGGGGGTCTTCTGCTTTGGAGGTCTATTGTTGCTAGCTGGCTGTATTCAGAACCCCCCTTACCAATTTTAAATTTTGTTAAAAACTGATACTACAGTTGTTTAAATTCATTTTTCTCTCATTAATCTACACTCAGTACCCCATAATGACAAAGTTAAAACATAATTTTAGAAACGTCTGCAAATGTAGGAGAGAGGAAAAACTGAAATATCACATTGGCATGAGTATTCAGACTCTTTGCAACAACACTTGAAATTTGGTGCCTCCCATATCTCTTGATCGAAGCCGAGATGTTTCCACACCTTGATTGGAGTCTACTTGTGGAAAATTAAATTGATTGGACATGATTTGGAAAGACACACACCTCTCTTTAAAAGGTTGCACAGCTGACAATGCATACTATATCAAAGCAAAAGCCATGATGGTAAAGGAACTGTCCGCAGAGCTCAGAGACAGGATTATTGCAAGGCACAAATCTAAAGAAGGCTACAAAAAAACAATTCCGCTGCACTGAAGGTTCAGAAGAGCACAGTAGCCTCTGTAATTCTCAAATGGAAAAGATTTGGCACAACCGACCAGCAAAACTAAACAATCTGGGGAGAAGGGCCTTAGTAAGAGAGGTGACCAAGAACTCAATGGTCACTCTGACTGAGCTCCAGAGATGTTGTGTGGAGATGGGAAAGTTCCAGAAGGACAACCATCACTGCAGCCCTCCACCAATGTGGGTTTTATGGCAGAAAGGCTAGACGGAAGCCTCTACTCAGTGCAAAACACAAGAAAACTGTCTTGGAGCACCTGAAGGACCCTCAGACTGTGAATAACAATATTCTCTGGTCCGATGAAACCAAAATTGAACTGCTTGGCCTCAGTTCTAAACATTATGTCTGGAAGAAACCAGGCACTGGTAATCACCTGTCCAATACCATCCAAACAGTGAAGCATGGTGGTGGCAGCATCATACTGCGGGGGTGTTTTTCTGCAGTAGGGAGAGGGAGTGGTCAAGGTTAAGGGAAAGTTGAATGAAGCAAGGTAAAGAGATATCCTCAATGAAAACCTGTTCTACAGCTCTCATGCTGGGATGAAGGTTCACCTTCCAACATGACAATGATTCTAAGCACACAGCCAATAAAACACAGGAGTGGCTTAGAGACAACTCTGTGATTGTCCTAGAGTGGCCCAGTCAGAGCCCTGACTTGAACCCTATTGAACATCTCTGAAGAGACCTGAAAATAGCTGTCCACAGACAGTCCCCATCTAACCTGACTGAGCTTGAAAGGATTTGCAAAGAAGAATGGCAGAAAATTCCCAAATCCAGGTGTGCAAAGATTGTTGCATCATGCCCAAAAAGACTTGGAGGTTGTAATTGCTGCCAAAGATGCTTGAACAAAGTAATCAGTAAAGGGTATAAATACTTAAGTACATGTGATATTTCAGTTTTTCTTAATACATTCATAGACAAATAATGTTTTCACTTAGTCATTATGGGGTACTGAGTTTAGATTAATGAGAAAAAAAATAATAATTTAAACAACTCTAGTATAAGGCTGAAACACAATACTTTATGAATGTACTAATATATATATATATACACATACATATATATATATATATATATATATATATATATATATATATATATATTATATATATACATACACACATATATATACATACAAACACATATATATACAGTGGGGATCGAAAGTTTGGGCACCCCAGCTAAAAATTTGTATTAATGTGCATAAAGAAGCCAAGGAAAGATGGAAAAATCTCCAAAAGGCATCAAATTACAGATTAGACATTCTTATAATATGTCAACAAAAGTTAGAGTTTATTTCCATCATTTACACTCAAAATAACAGAAAACAAAAAAATGGCGTCTGCAAATGTTTGGGCACCCTGCAGAATTTATAGCATGCAGTGCCCCCTTTGCAAAGCTGAGACCTGCCAGTGTCATGAATTGTTCTCAATCATCGTCTGGGAAGACTAGGTTATGTCAATCTCAAAGGTTTTAAATGCCCAGACTCATCTGACCTTGCCCCAACAATCAGCACCATGGGTTCTTCTAAGCAGTTGTCTAGAAAACTGAAACTGAAAATAGTTGACGCTCACAAAGCTGGAGAAGGCTATAA